GGTCGGCTTCTCCTAAGCAGCAGCCCAGCAAAGGGCGGTCACCCGCGAGCGGCGTAGACGTGGATGCAGCGATCGCAGGTGTGGAGATGGGCTGGAGGTGTCGGGTGCGGGTAAAGGGACGCTCGCGGGCGGCGATGTCGTCAGAAGCGAACAGTGCGGGCAGATGCCTCTCGGTTCGGTTGCAGGGCGGTGGTGATGTGGAGAAGGCAAAAAAAAAAAGAAGCAGAAGAACAATTGTAGGAAAGGACAGTAAGAGTGTAGCAGCGAGCAGCGAAACGAGAGAAAACAAAAACAAAATAAAATAAACATTGACAGCTGCTGCAGAGAGTTCGAGGCGGCTAGCCGAGCGAGTGAGGTGTGTGTGACAGACAGGGCCGTTATACGCCGCCCGTTGCATGCAGCTTGTCACGCTGCCGCCCGCGCGTTTACATTACGCGCCTCAGCCTCAGCCTCAGGGCCCTGTCCTGCTGCGCCAGCCAGTGCCCTCCACACTACCTACCGCTACAGTATACGCTCCCTACACTTAGCACACTACCTACAGCCCACACCAGCCCTCCTCTACACCTGCCTACACAATTATAGCAACACACACCCACACCCATGCCTCCCCCGCACCGCACCCCCCTGCGCAAAACAGACACGCACCTCCTCCCCCTCCTCTCCCTCCTCTTCCTCCTCAACGCCCTCGACAAAACCAACCTCGCCAGCGCAGAGACGGCGCATTTCTCGCGCGACCTCGGGCTGTCGCGCGCCGACGTGCACGCGGGCGTGGCCGTCTTCTTCGCGCTGTTCGTCGCGCTGCAGCCCGTGGGCGCGGCGCTGGGGCGGCGCGTTGGGTGCAGGCGGTGGGTGCCGGCGTGTATGGCGTTGTGGGGGGGCGCGACGGTGGGGATGGGCATGTTGCGGAGGGGGTGGGGGTGTAGGGCGGCGTTGATGGTGTTGAGGGGCGTGGTGGGGGGGCTGGAAGGTGCGTTTGTTTTTTTTGGTTTCTATTCTCTTATACCTATACAATCCTATTTCCCCGTTCTCTCTCTCCTCTTTCCTGTGTCTACACACCTGCACACCCCACCCTCCCCTCTGGGTCGTCACTCCTCCCCCCTACGTGCGTACGTCCATACTCACACCCCCCACAGCAGGCTTCTACCCCACGACCGTCGCCTACCTCGCCACCTTCTACACGCGCGCGCAGTTCGCGCGCCGCCTCGCCATCTTCTACGGGCAGGCTGCGCTGGCGCCCGCGGTCGGGGGCGTGCTGGCTTGGGGGGTGTTTTCGTGGTTTGGTGAGGACAGCACCACCTCTCCCCCATCATCTACTGTCGACGGTGGAGGAGGCTATGCAGGGGAACCCACACCCTGGCGCCCCTGGCAACTGCTCTTCCTAATCGAAGGCGGTCTCACCGTCGCCGTCGCCGCCGTCGCCGCCCTCTACCTCCCGCACGGCCCGCGCACGGCGTGGTTCCTGACGCCGACGGAGCGGGTGAGAGTGCATGAGGCGGTGCGGCGCGACCGGAGCGAGGAGATGGCTTTTCACTCTTTCCCCTCCCTTTCCCCCACCGCCTCCGACGACGACGACGACGACGACGACGACGCTGCCAACGACGGCGCAGCATCCCCCCTCCTCCCCCCCTCCCCCAACCCCCAAAAACAAAACACAACCCTCCACGCGCTCCTCGCCCTCCTCACCTCCCCCTACCCCCCCGCCCTCCTAGCACTGAACATCCTGACCGCCCTCCCCGCCATATCGCTCTCCCTCTTCCTGCCCCTGCTCCTCGTGCCACTAGCACCCAACCCGGCTCTTGCGAACCTCGCCACCGCGCCGCCGTTTCTGCTCGCTGCTGCAGTGCTGTGGGTGGTTACGGGCGTGAGTGATCGCTGCGGGGATCGGACGGGGGTCGTGCTGGTCGCGTTGGGGGGCGTGGGCGTGGGGTGTGTGGGGTTGGGTGTTGGTCGAGCCCCTGGTGAGGCCCCTGGCGGGGCCTTTGGCGGGGTGGAGTTGGGGCTAAAGTACATGTCGCTGTGTGTCCTGCTCGCAGGCGCGTACGTCGCGTCGCCGCTCACCGTGGCCTGGATCACGGACAACGTGCCAGGCGGGGGCGCCAAGCGCGCGCTCTGGCTCGGGATTAACGGGTGGGGGAACGTAGCGGGCGTGCTTGCGGCGTGGGTGTTTAGGCCTGTTGGAGGCAATGAGGCTGTCGTCACAGACCCCCTCCGCGCCTACCGCCCCGCCTTCCGCTCCCTCCTGCTCTGCACCCTGCTCGCGCTGGCCGGGTACGCATCCTTCCGGCGGCACCTGCAGCGCGTGAATGCGGCGCGGGCAGCGCTGCTGGCTTCGTGGAGCGCGGCAGAGGTGCAGGCGGAGCGGGTAGCGGGGAGAGGGCCGGCTATGCCGCGGGGGTGGTGGGAGAGGGGCGTGTTTTGCGTGCTGGAGGGGGTGGTGAGGGCGGTTGGGGGGGTGCTGGGGG